CAGATGTCAAACATATATGCACACATTATGTAATCATTTCTCACTCTTTTCTAGCTGAGTCATCAAGGGATCACCTGACCCATGGGCCATGCACAGCTCTTGCTGACTCATCATTATACCAACTAGAGTTATGAATATTTACTTTTGGCTCAAAGATACTGTGTAACTTGGTACTATCAAACTAAAGTTACAACTTTAAGTGTGAGAAACTAGTAGTATAGCCACCTAATTTGTCTATATAAGGAGCTGCTTTTTGCCCAATAAAACAAGCAATTCCCCTGCTTTTATACTCTCAGAATAAAATTGTGAGTAAAGTGTGAATCAGCATCCAGCAAGTGAAGTTCAAGGTTGGAGCTCACTGTGTCTGACGACTAGCAAGACTAATTTTTCTTTTTTTTCTTTTTCTCTTGATTGTCTGTCTGAATTTCTTTGTTTCTTTTTGTGTCTTTCTCTGTGTCTGTGTGTTTGTTTTTCTCTCTCTGTTTCTCTGAGATTGTGTCTGAGATTCGTGACTGAAACTCGTGTTTCTGTTTCTTTGTCTCTTTTCTCTCTCTCTGTCTCAAGTGTGTTGGTGACTAACTGTGTTGATCGTTTCTCTGATTGTTGTCTCTGTGTGTTGTGATCGTTGTTGCTAACAGTCTTCGAGAACGTATTAGTATTTCTGTTGTAGAGGTCTTGTTTTGTTGATTGTCTTGACCTATCAACTTTCTCTCAAGTACCAAAGTTTCAGTCTCATTCTTACCCAGAAGTTTGGTGTTGTCTCTTTTGTCCACTGAAGACTTAGGATAGTCTTGTGGGGAGACTTTAGGTGTTGACGGTGATACCTGACCTAATACATCTGTGTGTCATACTGGTCGAGGGTAGTCATTGCGAGTTAGACTTTAGCTATTGAAAGGGGACTTGGTATTGAAGTCCAAGGTCGCCCATTCCTGAGTCTGTTTGAATACTCATTGTGAGTTCCTTGACAGCAGGTTCAATATCAGGCTAAGAGTGCTACAGAGGCTTGACTAGGTCTGACAGTAGTTTCACCTGTGATTGTAACTGAGGGGGACTCTCATCGTAACTTCACACAACTTGCTGCACTAAGTTTGTGTATGAATCCTTGTTGCTGTGTGAAGTGTTAGGAAGAGTGTCTGTTTGTTTGTTGTCATCTCTATATTGTTAGGGTGACTGTGTTTCCTGTTATCTTGTTGCTGTTGTTTTGTTGTTTTGGTTGTTGTTGTTGATCGCTGACTGACTGGTTCTTTGTTTCTCTGATCGCTGTGTTTCATATCCATACTATTGGATTGATTGTTGATCACTGACCCTTGTGCAGAACTCGTTGTACTGACTGTACTTTAGGAGCATAAGAAAGCCACCCACGAACGACCACGTTATCAGTCATTGGTATTTGTCTGAATCGCTGACCATGGAGATATTTGGTTTTATAGGTGTTTATCTATAGATCATCTATCTAAGAAGACAACGCTTCTCGCAGAACAAGAAGCCACTATCTTAGAAGACTGAAAGAAGAACAAATCAAAGTACACTCCAATTCATAATGTTGATGTCCCCTCCAACCCAGTCATTCTTCCATGCCAATACGCCATTTGAAAGATGAAGTCGGGAGACTATTGCAAATTATTCTATTTCACAAACACTGGTCTAGAAGAAGCCTCCCGAGCCACTTTTACAGTGGATGAGGACGCCCTCATCATGCTACCCACTTCAGATGGACTACACAAATGGATCCCCGCCAGTGCAGCGTGAGATCCCAAAGTGCATGTGCTGAAAGATGAAAACCTCACATGGAAACAATTTAATGAGGCGGCCCCTCGCATGATTACGATAATGAGAGAGAACGATTGGCTGGACGACAGAATTGACATGCATGTAACCTTCTGGTCTGCTTTGCAAAACCATCGCTGGCGGCACGACTTTGATGCCCATAAGCAACGAGCACTGCTGCTCTACCAAGCCCAACAGCAATGGCAATGGCACCTGTCCATTGGCAGCTCGAACAGCTGGAGCTTAGCAAAGATCAACCAAGATCTCCTAAACGAAGCTCGAGAAACAATTTTCGACCAGTTTAGAATCCAACAGCTTTCCATGCAGGTTCATGCGCTTGTTTAAAAGATCCTAAATGGACATATGCTAAAATAACTTCTCTCCATCCTCCTTTCCTTGTCGTTTGGCGATCGCCGCCCTTGCACAATGTTTGGCATCACATCCAAACACCAACCCCCCCCCCCCCCTCTACCAAACCCTGGACATCACATTCTGCCCAACCAAAACTGGCCATCGCAGCTGCATCCCTCCCTGGACTACTTTACGGCCACCACGTGCCACAAACCACTACCCTCCCACCTTTCCTACCCTTCTCGACACTTAGTCTCGTGCCATCACGGCTACATCTACGAGCAAAAGCCAACCGCAGCACAATCACTTGGCTTCCAGTTCCCAAAAGTGTTCTCCACCTCTGTCACCAGACTTAAGAATCCCCAAGAAGCCTAGAACCTTTCATGATCCCAATGCACCGCTACCCTGTTGCGCCATATGTCTCGGATGCAACCCCCACCAGACAATTGACTGTGCAGCAACCCTTACCTGGGATGGAAAGCACAACACCATCTCAGAGCGCATCCATAAAGCCCTCTGGACGAAGGAGGGAAAACAACTCTGCACATCCTGGCAACGAGAAGAAGGGTGCAACAGCAATAGACACAACTCCAGCCACATCTGCTCAGGATGTGGAGCAGTCACTCACGGAGCCCAGTGCTGCCCTAGAGCGCAGAAGGCATAATCCTATCACACCCTACAAAGCAGACGTCTGGACTAGGAAGCTCCACAATGTGGGACTCCTCTTGCATTTTTCTAAAGTCCCCAAAGGTATTCGTTTCAGTTTCAATTTGAATTTTCCTACTATCTCTTCTATGCAATCCCCTCCTAATAAACAATCCATCATTACATACAAAGACCAGTTTCTTGCCAGTATACAGAATGAACTCCAATCAACGTGTTACATAGGACCCTTCTCTACTTATACCCTTTCCAGGCTCATTAGACTGTTTCAATCTTCCCCCCTTTCAATTATCCCAAAACCTGGCAAGCCAGGCAAGTTTAGATTAATCCAAAACTTCTCCTTCCCTCATTCCTTTGATCCCCAATTCCCAAACCCATCCATCGATTCATATATCAATGCTAATGATTTCCCCACTATGTGGGGAAAGTTTTCGGTCGTTTACCTACTTATATCGAGACTCCCCCCAGGATTGGAGGCAGCCATGCGCGACATCGCAGATGCCTACCGAACCATCCCCCTTCACCCCTCCCAATGGTCCGCTGCTGTAGTTCGCACATCAAATACCAAATTTTATGTTGACACATGCACAGCATTCAGAGCAACGCCTTCTGCAGATGCTTATGGACATGTGGCAGATGCAGGCGCCAAGATTCTCCGGTTTGAAGGCCTAGGCCCATTAGACAAATGGGTAGACGACCATATTTTCTTTAGAATCCGAAGAGAATTTTGAGATGAGTACAACCAAAAATGGGCAGAATGGCACCGCGATCTAGCCCAACAAGGCATGCATCAAACTGGCAGTAGAATATGGTTTGGTGGCCATGTGTTTGATGATGGCTCAATGGAAGAATTTAGCGAGGACTGCTCCCAGCCCATCAGAGACTTGTCCAACAAGTCACCAAGATCAGATCACGATCTCCTCTTCTGCTTCAACATGCAGGACATCGACGATGCCTCCATAGATCTAGGCATCCTCTGGCAACTTGCCAAGGACCAGCCCTTTGCTCCCACCACTATCTACATCGGCTTTCTATGAAACCTCTCACTCCATTTGGTCGCACTTTGTCTCACGAAGGTCGAAAAATACCTCATGGCCATTCACTCATGGAGAAAGAAGCCAACGCACGTGCTACAAGAAGCACTCAAGCTTTATGGAAAGTTGACACATGCCTCTGCAGCAGTGATAAGGGGAAGAGCGTACCTTACAGGTCTGGAACGCACGATCGCCGTCTGCTGGAAGAAGCCCCTTCTCCCACATCGCCCTGATAAAGAGGTCGAACCAGACCTCAACTGGTGGACAGAACTGCTACAATCAGGGGGAGTAGCCCGCCCAATCTACCCACCAGCGCAGTTTTCGAAACCCCTTGCCTTTTCAGATGCCAGTTCAAGCATTGGCATTGGCATCGTTGTCGGTAACCAGTGGCGTGGCTGGAGACTCGTACTAGGGTGGCAGACAGCTGACAATGCAAAATGAGATATTGGCTGGGCCAAAGCTGTTGGCTTCGAACTCCTGGTCTACACCCTCGCCTCTCTCCCTGACGTTGGCAACCACATCATTGTCTACGGCGACAATACAGGCATGGTGGAGGGCTGGTGGAAAGGGAGCCACCGAAACAAGGCCATCAATGAGGTCTTCTGATGCATACATGAGTTCATTCATGCTCTACCCAGACATTTCGAAATCTGCACAGAGTATGTCACCAGCAAATCTAACCCCACCGATGACATCTCCAGAGGCATATACGGGCCCAAACACCTTCTACTCCCTGAAACCCACGTTCCAAGCCAAATCAGAGAACTTGTCATTGATGCCACAGCCCCCCTCACCCCAACAGAACTTTGCCTACTCCATGATGGGAAGTACGCCCCTGCGGCCGCCAAAGTCATTGACCGAGTCCTCACTCACCAGCAAGCCTTTGAGCGAGCCAGAGCTCTGCACGCAGAAGAAGAAGAAATCATATTCAACACCATCTCTGACTAGCACAACTCCTCAGCCACACACTCGTTTTAGTGCCCCGCTAATATCTACTTCTCTCTCCCTACCCAATACTCCTTCCCCCCAATGTTATAGGCCCAGCCTTGCTCCTCTTCCCTCACCCTTAAGACCGCACTGCCTCGCACATGAACGTCTCCATAAATGGCTACATCAGGTGGCAGCGCGCGGCTCCCAACACGCGCAACCCCAGACGTACCAAATATCAACATCTCAGACGAACAACTAGATTGTATCCTAGAGGTTATGGGTGCATCCTGGGCACAATCCACCAAAGAGACTTACGGTGCAGGACTCCTAGTATTTCATGTATACTGCGACACTCTCAATATCTCAGAAGAGCAACACTGCCCAATTCCCCCCACTCTCCTTCTTGCCTTTTTATCGAGCTGCGCAGGTTCGTACTCAGCATCAGCACTAGCCAATTATGCAGCCGGTTTGAAGGCCTGGCACCTTCCACATGGCTGTCCATGGATTGTCGATGCCAAAGAGCTTAAGGCTATCCTTGACGGAGCAGCCGCACATGCTCCAACCTCTTTGAAATGTTCTAAATGTGCCCCATTCACAGTAGACATTCTCTCAATCATTCGCTCGCACATCAATCTCAACGACCCTCGAGACGCAGCCATTTTTGCATGTATCACAACCACATTCTATTCCATAGCAAGACTTGGGGAGTTTACTGTACCTACTATCAAAGCCTTTGACCCCAACAAACATGTCACTTGTGACTCCGTTTCAGCCGCTGTAGATCACAATGGCCTGCCAGTCACAAAATTCCATATCCTGAGCACAAAAGCATCTCCGCTAGAAGGAGAAGACGTTTATTGGGCGCAACAAGATAACCCGTCAATTTACCCAAAAGCTGCTCTAGAAAACCACCTTCGAATCAACGCATCTGAGGACAAGGTGCACCTTTTCGCCTGGAAATATCCCAAAGGCCTAAGACCTCTCTCGAAGAAAGAACTCACCAAGAGACTCTCCATTGCACATGCCGCCAACCTCCCAGACCTCAAAGGACATGGTGAAGGTTCAACGATACAGCGAGGCACAAACAATGGTCCTGACTGTATCTATAAATGTTGTAAGGTCGCGCATTGCCTAGTCTGCTATACTTGAGACGACAAGTGCGTTCAACCCTAAAGGGGAAGCGAGTGCAGCAAGGATCTAGTAGTAGGCGCCGAAGGGCGCTACTGGTGGGCAAATGCGAAGCGCGGGAAAGCGCAGGTGCGCGCGAGGTGCGAGAATGCGCGAAGCGCGGGAATGCGCGTGCGTGTATGTGGAAACAAGAGAGAGTAAGAGTGAGTTTGCTTAAGTGATGATTAGACACTAGACAAGAGGTGAGAGATGCAAGCTGAGAGATGTTATATGTGAGGTGCCAAGGAATAGATTTCAACTGTGCTCTGCTGGGTAGTAAATGGGTATTGTTCTGGTTCAGTCCTCTGTTGTTTTGGTGGGTGAGTAAGTGAGTAATAGTATGTACTGCTGGCGCTTAAGTATGGCACCTAAGCGCTGTCATGCGGAGCCAAAGCACTACTGAGTACGGTATGTAAGGATATATGTAAGTAAGGGTCCATGATAAAAATAAAGATGGAACAATATGCAAATGTGAGAATGGAAATATACACACTAGGGAACTTGGTGGACAGTGGATGGATGCTTCCGGATGGCTGGTGCTATAGGGCGCTCAAGCGCGGGAAAGCTCGCGCGCATATACATCGTGAAGCGCGGGAAGTTGCGCGCACATTGCGCGATGCGCGGGAAAGCTGCGCCTCATGTAGGAATAGCTGTAGGAAGCATACAGAGTGATGCTACAAGTTCGTGCTGTATACTCCTTGGTGAAAACTGCAATATTGCACAAGGAGAGGCATGAGTCTCTACAATGGACTTTGGATAGGTGGTACTCTAGAGTATCTGCTAAGAGGAGTCCTGTTTGATGTTGTCAAATCTATGGGAAGATGGTCAAGCAATGTGTTCACCCTATACCTCCAAGAACACACAGTCATTATTGCACCATACATTCAAGCTTCACCATCATTAGAGCCTTTCACGTGCCATATGATGCCCCCAGTGCAATAATCCCATGCTGTAAGTGCCACTCCTACGTTTTTCAAGGTGTCAAGCTTTGCAGTTAGTGTCGCCACACTCCTAGAATCTTGGGATCATAGCTCACCTTGAAACCTTAGGTCCTTGCGCAGGTGCTGGGCTGAAAAGCCCTACGGGCTTTTACCCAATCAGCATCTCTTACTTTCACTAATCAATTGCCATCACACCTGTACCTAGTCCATGACCAATTCACCCTGCTCCATTCTCCAATAAACTGCGCGTTGAAGGCATAGACTTGGAGTTCTGAGTCTTCCAGTCCTGCCATCCAAAACTATGTTGTTTTTGCTTTTGTCCTCACATTCTTAAAAGCTCTTCTTGAGTCAGAATGGAAGACAAAAGAGCACATGATTCTCAAAAAATTACTTGATCGTGAGGCTCAGCAATTATTTCTTTGTCAATTTGGACATTATGCACATCGTCAATATCCATTCAATACCTCCCTCAAAGGTGGGCAATCAATGCTGTCATGGTAGATGCACTAAATGAGAATTCCTGAGGGGATTATCCTTGCAGTCAGTTCATATCTTGCACAAAAATATGATTCATTTACTCTGATAAAGATACTTGCCATCATATCCGCATTCCAGACCTGGACCATTCATGCACTCATCTCCGAATGTCTGGATCCGACCCGCTTCTTTCCTCTTTGGTACGTTTCCTTTTGGTTAGCCCCTTTTCCAGTCCTGATTGCTGATGGGTTCCTTGTGGTGTCGGTTGACTTGGCTCCTGACAGCACAGGGAAGAATAAGGATGAGGGTAGGGCTGAGGAGATACAGGTGCTTGATAGTGGTGATGACAAGTGGCCAACAGAATGGCCTTAGCTAGTGTCTTTTTTGCACTAGCTAATTAGCTAGAGTTTTTAGCGACTTCTTAGCTGGCTAAAAAGCAGCTAGTATTTTAGACCCTCAGGACTTCCTGGCTAAAAAGCTTGCTAATATTTAGATCCACGCTTTTGGTGCTTGGCTAAGACCAGTTGGATGCACTCCCAATGTATTCATTCATAAGTGAATCCTCAAGGTACATTTATCTGCATTTTGTCAGTTCTAACATCACCCTTGAGCCCAACCATATGTGACTCATGACCCAGTTATTGATCCAAAGACATCACAAACATCATTGGCCCACCATGGTGGTCTGCCATTAGCACATTTTTGGAGCAATTGCTGGATAAATAGGTCTTGAAGTAGAGACTCAGAAGAAGTCTAATGTCTTTTGTGATAAGAGTAGAATAAAAAGATCAATTGCGGTGACCATATTATTAAAAGAACTGACAAAATGCAGATAAATGTGCCTTGAGGATTCACTTCTGAATGTATTTATTGGGAGTGCATCTAACTGGTCTTAGCCAAGCGGTTAATACAACAGAATCTAAATCTGTCAGTGTGGGTTTGAAACCTGCTAAAGATGTCATTGTCAAGTGATCATTAGACTCAAAATCTGTTTCTCTGGGACCATGTGGGTTTGAAACCTACCAGTTGCAAGATTTGTTTTCTATGAAAACACACCTTAAAATATGCTTATGGTTGGTTTGCTTGCCAGCTGATCAAAGTTGTGTTTGGCCAAGTGGTTGTCATGACAGAATCAACATCTGTTTCTATTGGAATGCAACAGGTTTGCAACCCGTTGAATGTCACATATCTCAGACATCAATCTTCATTGGTCTTGGTCAAGTTGTCACCAAAGTTAAAATCTTTGTCTCTTGGACTTTGCAGATTTGAAACCTGCCAATGATTATATTTTTATTCTATGCAATTACACTCTGATATTTTCTCATGGATAGTTTTCTCCAAAACTCATCATAAATACTCTTTTCCATATCATTGCCACAGTAGATTCAAAATATGTTTCAATCAAAGCCTACAGGTTTGCAATCAGTCAAATGATGCATTTCTTTTTCATGTTGCAACATGCTTAATTGAATGTTTTCTCATACTTTGATCTTCATTGTTGCTAGTTCAGGAGTTATCAAAGTCAAAATCTGATTTTCCTAGACTGAGCAGGTCAAAAACATGGATCACTCAGCATATTTCAAGCATGCACAGTTTAAGAGAAACAGACTTCAATTCTATTGCAACAACCACTTGGCTAGGGATAATCAATTTCAAGGTGTGTTTTCATAGAAAATGAATTGTATCACTGGCAAGTGATAACCTGCGCAGTCTAAGAGAAACAGATTTTGACTCTGGTGATCACTTGGCAAATTGATCTTCAGCAGGTTTTGAACTCATGCAGACAGATTTAGATTCTGTTATATGCAACTGCTTAGCTAAGACCAGTTAGATGTACTCTCAATAAATACATTCAGAAGTGAGTTTTTTTTATCCTGCTCAAACCTGCCTCTGATTAGCTGACAAGCTGACTAACCATAAGCATATGTCAAGATGTGCTTTCATAGAATAAAAATAAAAATAAAAGACAGGTTTGAAACCTGCGCTGTTCAAGAGAAGCAGATTTTGACTCTGGTGATCACTTGACAATTTCATCTTTAGCAGGTCTTGAACCCACACAGACAGATTTAGATTTTGTTGCATCAACTGCTTGGCTAAAACCAGTTAGATTTACTTCCAATGAACCCAATGATTCAGAAGTGAGTCCTCGAGGTACATTTATCTTCATTTTGTCAGTTCTTTCAATAGCATGATGACTGTTTATTCTTTTATACTGCTCTTATTGCAAAAGACACAGACTCCTACTGAAGCTCTTAACTTCAAGACCTGTTTATCTAACAATTGCCCTGAAAAAGTGCTGACAGCAGACCACCATGGTGGGTCCATGAGTGAAAACTGACAATGGAAGGATCACACAGTGTGTTTTTGACACAGAGTCTAATATATGACCAAAGTCTTGATGCAAACTCGGAAGGATAAGTACAAGAACAATATAATTCTTTCTAAAGGTCTTGACTTGGTTGAAGAAGAAGAGCAGATTACACATCAAACTTTCAAGTTTGATCCTAATAACCTAGGGAATGAGGCAAAATACAAATCTATCTATTAAGGCTGAGATTCTTTATTGTGCTTATTCAACAAGTGGTTGCCAGAGTCAAAATATATTTCTCTTGAACTAAGCAGGTTTGTAATTTGTATAATGATGTATATTTTGCATTAACTCGTGATTCACCACATTCCACCATTTTTGATTTCATAGAATAAAAATATTGTTGTTGGCAGGTTTCAAACCTGCACAGCTGAAGAGAAACAGATTTTAAATCTGATGACATTCGACAAGTTTCAAACTTGTTGCACTCTGATAGAGATAGATTTTGATTCTGTTATGACAGCCACTTAGCTAAATACAACTGTGATCAGCTTGCAAGCAACTGGCCATGAGCAAATTTCAAGGTGTGTTTTCATAGAAAATGAATTTTATCACTGGCAGGTTTCAAACCTGCACAGTCCAAGAGAAACAGATTTTGACTCTCATGATCACTTGGCAAATTCATCTTTAGCAGGTTTTGAACCCACACAAACAGATGTAGATTCTGTTTCATCAACTGCTTGGCTAAGACCAGTTGGATTATTGAAATGGGAATGAGACCAAGAAAATTTGGTATGGACCAATGGTAAGAATACAATGTGCAGGAGGCATGAGTCAAGAAAGGGAAGCCACATGTGTGGCATGAGTCATAATAAGATGTGTTTTTTTATAAAAACAAAATGACATCACTATTGGTGGGTTCCAAACATGCACAGTCTGATGGAAACTGATTTTGACTCTGTTAACCACTTGACTAAGACCAGTAAAGATCTGTGTCTGAGAAACTATTCATGGGAAAATATTTGAGACATGTTTCAACGGCAAAAATATAACATCAAATGGGTTTCAAACCTATGCATTTCAACAGAAACAGATTTTGATTCTGTCATGAGAACCACTGAGCTAAATGCAATTGAGATAGGCTTTTGAGGAAACCATCCATGAGCGAATGTCAGAGCATGTTTGAGCAGGATAAAAAAATCAATGATGATCATGCTATTAAAAGAACTGACACAATACAGATAGATGTGCCTTAAGGATTCGCTTCTGAATGTATTTATTGGGAGTGCATCTAACTGGTCTTAGCCAAGTGGTTAATGCAACAGAATCTAAATCTGTCTGCATGGGTTCAAAACCTGCTGAAGATCAATTTGCCAAGTGATCACCAGAGTTAAAATCTGTTTCTCTTGGACTGCGCAGGTTTGCAATGTGCTGGTGGTACAATTCATTTTCTATGAAAACACACCTTGAAATTTGCTCATTGTCTGTTTGCTTGCAAGCTGATCATGGTTGTGTTTAGCCAAGTGGCTGTGATCACAGAATCAAAATCTGTTTCTATTGGAGTGCAATGAGTTTGAAACTTGTAGGATGTCACATTTTTTCTGTAAGAACATATCTTGAATGTTTGCTCATAGACAGTATCTCAGACATTGATTTTTATTGATCTTGGTCAAGTTGTTGCCAGATTCAAAATCTGTTTCTCTTGAACTGTGCAGGTTTGAAACCTGCCAATAACAACATTTTTGTTCTATGATATAAGCCTTGACATTTCCTTATCAAGATCAATGTCTGAGATGCTGTCTATGAGCAGACATTTAAGACATGTTCTAATAGCAAAAATGCACCATTCAACAGATTTCAAACTCCATGAGGAAATGTCAAGACATATTTTTATAGAAAATAAAATTTATCATTGACGGGTTTCAAACCTGTCATGGTTCAAGAGCAACAGATTTTGAGTCTGGTGATCACTTGCAATTTCATCTTTAGCAGGTTTGGAACCTGCACGGACAGATTTAGATTCTGTTCTATTAACTGCTTGGCTAAGACTAGTTGAATGTACTCCCAATGAACTCGTTCAAAAGTGAATTCTCATGGCACATTTATTTGCATTTTGTCAGTTCTTTCAATATACATCATTATACAGATTACAAACCTGCTTAGTTTAAAAGAAATATATTTTGACTATGGCAACCACTTGAATAAGCAAAATAAAGAATCACAGCCTTGATAAATCTGTATTTTTTCTCCTTCCCCAGGTCTAAGCATTGGTACGGGTACAGGTAACCCATACAGGTCATGGGTATGGGTACCTGACAGGTATGGGTGCAGGTACGAGCACAGAGTATCCATTACCCATCTAGCAGGGTACCTGTACCTGTCACGCTAAAAGCGGCAATGTCGCACATGGCACATATCTTGAAACTATACAGCATCAAAATAACTTTATTTTGGCCACAATAAAACAGACAGGCCCAACATCTTTCACAAGCTCTTGCAGGCTTCAAAAGCCCCACCATATCTCCATTCACCACAATGTTTCATAAGCGGGTCAAGAAACTGACCGAGAAGGCTGCCCAGGCTGTTGCAGAAGGAACCCAAAAGCTAAAAAGGAAAGTTAGCACTGGTAGTCAAGAGCCTTCACTGGCCAAAAAATCAAAGCACATATCTTTAAGTTCCCCATCCAAGTCAAAAGAATCATCCTCTCCTCCTTGCACCATAGAAGCTGAGCTCGGCAAGTTATTTATCCTTCACATATCATTATGTTAATCAGTTTTAATTTCACAGACAAGCTGAAAAAAAAAAGGTGGACATCACCAGTTTATTCATTCTTTGAGCCAATACCAAGCATTGAATATATTGGCAGGCAGCACTCCCATGTATTCAAGTGCATGGGAAAGGGTTGTAAACAGCACATTCAGTGCTACCTTGACAAAGGCAATGCAAAGTCTACCAGCAACATGGCCAAGCACACCAAGAGCTGCTAGAACACTTAATAGATACTATTCACTCACTGATGCCTCTGAAACATACCATGTGGCTATGGGTACGCTCTCGTCTACTCTTCCTTCTTATGATGATGCTAACTTCATGCTTTTTTCACTGGCAGTGCTTCATCCCCAACACAAACTTCGATACTTCTGGAATGCAGGCTGAGAGACTGAGTGGGTTACCATGGCTGAACATCTCATATGTGAGCTGTATGACTGGTTATATGACATAATAGTTTAATGTTTTCAATGCAGCTTTGCAGCAACGTCTGTTGATGTCGAGCGTATTTTCTCTCATGGATGGCTCATTCTTTCTTATGTGCATTCAAGACTTTCGGCACAAATGACACGAGCTCTTTTTTGCCTTGGAAGTTGGAGTTCCCTCAGTCTGGTGAAAGACAAGGATGTTACTGCCATGACATGTAAGCCTGACCTCGAAGGAGAAGAGCGGGAGTTGGATGAAAGCTGGGATAATATTAATGTGTAGTTTATGCAGGTCTGAATTTGCCATACTGGTGCAGGAAGGCAGGGGTCCAAGAGACACAGATTTTAACTCTGGTGACAACTTGACTAAGACCAATGAAGATCGATGTCTGAGATATTGTCTATGAGCAAACATCCAAGGTATGTTCTCATAGAAAAAATGTGACATTCAACAGGTTTCAAACCTGTTGCATTCCAATAGAAACAGATCTTGATTCTGTTACAATAAATACTTGGCCAAATACAACTTTGATCAGCTTGCAAGCAAACCGACCATCAGCATATTTCAAGGTGTGATTTCATATCAAAAAAATGTCACAACTGGTATGTTTGAAACCTGCATGGTCCAAGAGAAACAGATTTTGACTCTGGTAATCACTTGACAATGACATCTTTAGCAGGTTTTGAACCCACGCAGACAGATTTAGATTCTGTTGTATTAACTGCTCGGCTAAGACCAGTTAGATGCACCCCCAATGGACTCATTCAGAAGTGAATCCTCAAGGCACATTTATCTGCATTTTGTTAGTTCTTTTATTAATATGGTCACCGTGATTGATTTTTTTATTCTACTCTTATTGCAAAAAACATCAGACTTCTTCTGAGCCTCTACTTCAAGACCTATTTATCCAGCAATTGCTCCAAAAATGTGGTGATGGCAGACCACCATGGTGGGCTGATAATGTAATGTTAGAACTGACAAAATGCAGATAAATGTACCTTGAGGATTCACTTCTGAATGGATTCATTGGAAGTGTGTCCAACTGGTCTTAGCTGAGCAGTTAATACAACAGAATCTAAATCTGACTGCACGGGTTCAAAACCTGTGGAAGATAAAATTACAAGTGGTCATCAGTGTCTAAATATCTTTCGCTTAGACTGCGCAGGTTTAAAACCTGCCAACAATAACATTTTTTGGTTTTTCTTGCAAAAAAAGTCATAATACCAGCAATAGAATTGAGGACTTCTGAGTCATTTTAAGATTCGTGTGGGAAATGTGAAGGTGTGATTTCATAGAATAAACATAAAAATGTTGTTATTGGCAGGTTTCAAACCTGCACAGTTCAAGAGAAACAGATTTTGACTCTGGTGACAACTCAACTAAGACCAATGAAGATCAATGATTTAGATGCTGTCTTTGAGCAGATATTCAAGACATGTTCATATTCTAATACAAAAAATGCATCACTCAACAGATTTTGATTTTATTGCAGCAAATGACATGGCTAACATCAGATGAGACAAGTTTGACAAAATCACTCATGAGAAAATTATCAAGATGTGTTTTCATAGAAAAGATATTTTAGCATTGGCAGGTTTCAAACCCACACATTCCAAGAGAAACAGATTTTGACTCTGGTAATCACTTGATGATCTCATCTCCAGCAGGTTTTGAACCCACACAGACAGATTTAGATTCTGTCATATCAACTGCATGACTAAGACTAGTGAAATGCACTTCCAATGGACCTATTCACAAGTGAATCCTCAAGGCAGTTCTTTCAATAGTATGATCACCATAATTGATTCTTAGGCCTGTTCATCTGGCAATTGCTCTGAAAAAGTGCCGATGGCAGACCACCACAGTGGGCCAATGATATTTGTGATGTCTTTTGGATTAATAACTGAGTCATAAATGACAACTGACAATGGAAGGATCACATGTGATTGGACTCAAGGAGGATGTTAGAAATTAATGTTAGAACTGACAAAATGCAGATAAATGTACCTTGAGGATTCACCTCTGAATGGGCTCATTGGGAGTGCATCCAACTGGTCTTATAGCTAAGCAGTTAATACAACAGAATCTAAATCTGTTTGTGTGGGTTCAAAACCTGCTAAAAATAAAATCTGCAAGTGAACATCAGAGTCAAAATCTGTTTCTCTTGGACTGTGCAGGTTTGACACCTGCCAATGATAACATTTTTATTTTATGAAATCAGGCCTTGACATTTCCTCGTAAATGAAATATGTGTTTTTTCCTGGGTGAACATAGCTTGACATTGACTGATGTGTACTTTCATGTTGTAGCTTGCGCTCCCAAACATCTGCTTTATATGATGTTTGTGAATGCACTTTTCTGTATCCAAGAACATCTCTGGCTCCATGTGACATGGCTCTGCATCCTGAGCACAAATACCTCAAATCATGCTTTAGGGTTTCTATAGCTTTCATCCCGCTGCCATGCAGTGTAGAGACTGACATCTCTGTAGCCTCGTAGAGGCCATATCTACGACACACCTTAAAGTGCAGTTTGATGCACAACTCATGCTAAACACCCCTCCAATCATTCCCTATGCGAAGCACAACTCTCCCACGTTAAGTGCGCACTACTTTCCCACACAAAGTGCCGCATTTGCATATGCCTAGTGCACTTTCCCACACTTTTTCATATCAAACCATATTAGACTTTAATCATTTGCTCACCATCATGTCATGGACCCTTATTACATATTTTACCTACTCTCCTTGCTACCACTTTGGCTCCGCTTCAGGGTTGCATTTTTAGACATATATAAGCACCTGTAGTTCATGTTTTACATCATCGAATCATATAGAAGCTCCCTACACCACACTATCAGTGTATAGCTCATTTGTCCCGGTGTAGGGATTCATTTCTGGCTGGGCTTGCAGAGACTGTTTTTACCTTAGTGTTATGTTTGCACTTTTGTAGCTTACATAATGAAGTTACCTTTTCACCAGTTCTACTATGAGTCTGAGTATTCAGCAAGTTTCTATCATATTTCCTCTTCTCTGAGCCTTGAGCCTGGTCCAGAAACCCTTTAGGGTCGAATAGCAGCTAGGTTCTGCAAGACCCAACATTGTTCAGACTTACCATCTGAATTGTTGAACCTTCACCGGAGATCCTGAGAAGTGGATATGAGATCAGGTATCCAGATATCGGATCCAGATGTGTGGATATGCAAAGGTACAGAGATTTGGGTGTATGGACATCTGGACAGATAAAGAATGTGGACAGGGGGTCCAGACGTCCAGATGAGGCATGGGAACATTGTTGGATGTAGGTCCGGAATACGGGATATGACACTGGACCTCAATGTGATCATGATGAGTGTGAGGGTCCACATAACAACTAAAAGGGATTACTGAGTAAAATCAAAGCTTAAAAATGATGTGTACATACCAACCAGATAGCGATGTGATTTGCTGTGAAAGACCATCTAGGCATATGCACGGGTATGGGTAACCCGTGCGGGTTGTGGGTATGGGTACTACTGGGGTATGGGTAGGGGTCTGCATTTTGGGTACCTGGACCCCCACCCACACCCGTGCGCTCGGGTTTGACCAGTACATTACCTAATCAAGAACGGTACTTCCACTTGTATATATTGCTAATGCTTACACCTGCCTACTACAGCGTGCTATGCCCCTCCATCTTCTTCAACACAACACCTACCCTCAAGTTCCACAGACAAAGTGAGTTTGTTGATCCTCCTTCGAGTTTGAGCCACACTGATCCAAGTTGATGCCCGCCATTTGCAGTTCATGAGTCCATCGATCCTCCTTTGAGTTTGAGCCACACTGATCCAAGTTGGTGCCCGCTGTTTGCAGTTCGCGAGTCTGTTGATCCTCCTTCGAGTTTGAGCCATGATGCCTGCAGTTCGCAGTTCGTGAGTCCGTTGATCCTCCTTCGAGTTTGAGCCATGCTGATCCAAGTTGATGCCCGCCGTTTGCAGTTTGTGAGTCCTTCGATCCTCTTTTGAGTTCGAACCACGCTGATCCAAGTTGATGCCTGCCATTTGCAGTTCATGAGTCCTTCGATCCTCCTTTGAGTTCGAGTCACGCTGATCCAAGTTGTTGCCTGCTGTTTGCAGTTCGTGAATCCTTCGATCCTCCTTTGAGTTCGAGCCACACTGATCCAAGTTGTTGCCTGCCTTTCGCAGTTCGTGAGTCCGTTGGTCCTCCTTCGAGTCTGAGCCATGCTGATCCAAGTTGTTGCCCGCCCTTCACAGAATCGCAGTTCGTGAGTCCATCGATCGTCCTTCTACTCAAGCCATGCTCCTGGTGAGTTTTTTTTTAAATTGAACTCACATATACTACAGCTAATAACATCTACGCCCTATAGTATCTGTAACCCACGGGTACACCCTTGATGGGTTGTACCCCGGGTCCTTACTTCCCTACCTACTGTGCAACCCGTACCCTTGCTGTGGGTGTGGGTTTACCTCAGGGTGCAGGTGTGGGTTGACCTGCTGACACCCGGGGGTTCACCCATGCAGATCCCTAAGACCATCGAAGGCCTCATGTTCACTGCCCTCATAACTGAGGTCCAGTCCTTCCTTGCCTGGGGGTGCCATATATGGTATTAAGTCAGTGGCGGTGTTAAGAACGTGCTCAATGGTTCTGATCCAAAGGGCTTGGCTTCAGCTCGTGCACTGTGCCCCTTACCCAAGTATGTGCTCCTAACTTCCAAGGGCTAAAGGACGACGTCCAGAGTCCGATGCGTGGGAATTCCGGCGGACATTCAGGAACAAGTGATAAGACTAATCCGGACGATGTCCAAACTAGAAAGGAAACAGCGGAGGACTACCTAAGGTAGAGGCGGAGGTGGTAAGTCTATAGGAGTCGATCCTAAGACTGTCAGAGACGACAAGAAGAGACTTCAAGTCGGACGGAGGAGGGAATGAGCAGAGTCTAAGATAATATTTGAACTGAGGAAATACAAAGACTTTACAGGGTTTATATACTACTAAGGACATAATGGAGAATCAGTTTGCGCAGTGCGAGGCTATGCAAGGCTATGGACGGAGCATGTGGAACGCCTAACACTAGTCTATCGGAACTTAGTAAAATGAAGACAGAAATGAATGAGGAATGGAAAATAAAGCATACTACTAACTGATAAGGGAAATACTAAAGGGAAAAGGCACGAAGGATAGGAGCTGACCAGATCCGGAAGTCCAGAAGTCCAGAGATGATTGCGTGATTGGTCCGGGTCCAGTGTGGAAACAACAACCTTGCTGGGTGGCAAGAAAAGGTTGG